GAACAAAAAAAGGGAAAATTTTCAAGATCATGGTTCGAACTAATGAGTATGAACTCACAAAAACCAAAGTTATGATTCAGAAAGTAATTAGCACAGATCTGCAGAGGCTTTCTAGAAACAAGTACTAAAAAACTGTTTAACTTTTCTTTCCCACAAATTATAAGCAGCCTAAGGTTTTCAAGTAATGTTTAGTGATGAGCACTCATCGTAAAACAATTGCTTGCTTAGCAGTAGCGTGGAAAAAGAAAACAAATCAAAAATTTTTATACCTTTGCGATCAGGGAGTCGAAATTAGGATCGGGTCTCAACGAACGTTTTGAAACCAGTTTCTTCCTACAGGTTGGGCACTCTTTGTTCCCACGAAACAATGCCGTTGTTATGCATTCGGCACAAAATCGATGAAGACATTCCTAAATAGTAAGCTTTGTCTATAGCCTTCAAATCATAGCAGACTGAGAAAGACTGCATGAGATATGATTGGATAACCACGCATTTGATCATAGAGGATCCTCAAACGTTTTGGCGCGAAGAAAAAACATTATGTTGAAACAAGAAATCACTTTGGTGGTCATGGTTTGCGTTAACAAGTCCAGACATATTGGGCAGCTAAGCTCGGTCGATAGGGTACCAGCACGTAGTCGAAGTTCAGTGTTGTCAGCCAACGATTTGTGCGGTGTTCGAATCTAAATTAGCTGTTACTGATCATCTAAAATATAATGAAGATTTTGTTTCCCCGTTCAAAAATTCCTGAGTCGTTTTAGAGTTTAGATAGAGCATATTTAGCTGAATAATTCAATGTTAATGAGTCGCACTTATTTTTCTTCTTCGAAGCACAAAACATATAAATAGGCAGCTTGAACTGATTTGTAAAGGAGGATTCGTATCTCTCACTATTACGGTAGGAATAGGCACAAAATCGTCTACTGGTTTAGCCTTGGCCATATCAAACTGAACTTGTCTAGTGAAATAATATGGCACGTTGAGAAAAATTAAGATAATCGTTTTATGTAACAGTGGAATTCTGTACGTTACGGTAAGTGCTGAACGGAAATGTAAACCCACATACAAATATACTGTATTTCTAATGTGATGGAAATCGAGATCCGTACATGACTGGAGGTCTAATTTTAAGCTAGTCCTCTAAATTGATTTTTTGAGGCACGAAGTAGATTCGGGATTGCGAAATTTGGTATCTTTTGGGACACTCTGAATTTGGATTAATTACATTGGATGAAAGGAAGATAACACAAGAAAGTCGAAAATACAGGCTACAGATGCAAAAACAAACCTTTGACAGAAAGTTCAAAGATCTTTTGAATATAATAAAATTGTTCATTAATACAAGTTCAACTTGTAGTATTCAAGTAGTGATCAAGTACGAGCGCAAACTCATTTTGTGCTACGTAAGACTTAATGAAAAGAGTAACCTATAATTTCATGCCTCAAATTGTTCCAGAATGTCATCTGGTTAAATGACACAATATAGAAGAGAATTAAAGACATCTTATATACATGAACGATTAGAAACTTTGGTAATTTCGCCGAAAAATCTGCGCTTTCTTTAAGATATTTAACAAAATATTATATTTGATCTAAGCGTGTGAACTTGCTTTTCTAGCGAATGGCTCGATTATAAAGTGTTTTTATGCTGATCCATTAGACTGTATGCAGATAGCCTGTAAAACATATAGAGGTCATACCCTATCATAATCGTCCAGTGATAATTCTTTACCCTCTGCATTGGCTGAAGAAAATGGGAGATTGTTCATCTCCCCCAGTAAATGCACCAGAACTGAAAATTCAGGGTTGGAAATTTGTTTAACAAAATGTCATATGAGGATATTATCTTTGAGGAATAGGAGTATCTAGGAAAAGTAGTAAAAGTTGAGCCTCAGCGATTCCCAGAAGAGAACGACCATTGAAGTCCGTGGTTGCGTCGGAATAGCGCGACGCTTGGCGATGGCGCGATGCAGTTGGACCACCCGTTCATTTTTGATCGCAGTTCCAATATGCATTTTCTCTTTCCATCTTTTATATACAAGCTCCCTTTGTTAAAGTTCTACATAGTTTTCCTTGCGGTCTACAATTTCCTCTTATGAAATTTTCTGGGATTTTCGAACCAACCTTCCCCGCTTCTTTATTTTCCATTCCTCATTCGTTGAGTTACGTTTTCCTATGTGCGCTCGTTATACTTTATTCTCCATTCCTCATTTCTTGAGTTACGTTTTCCTCTATGCGCTCATTATACATGTGAATGCACCGATAATTTTGGACAAGCGTTTAGTTTTTTTTTTCCACGAAAATCAACTTCAATTAAGGTTTGGTTTTGCTTCTTATTGCCAATCATGTAATTGAAGCATTGATCGTAATGACCTAACGTGGACTGTTTTTGATATACGAAGGAGTTCATTGTGTGTTGTTTGACGGAGTAGACAGCTGAATAGTATATAGCAGTATTATTTGCTTGTGTTATGACTCATTTCAATCTAACCTTGTTTAGAAGCTGCCACTGTCCAGTTCATGAGCTAAAAAAGTTTATAGAATTGGTTATGATGATTTGTTTGGGATGGAATGGGTTCATGCAGATCGGAAAAATATTTCCATTCCTCACAGCAACTTCTGTTTGTATAGATACTGCAGATGTATGAAATAGCTTCTTGTGGTTTTCGACGCAAATCGTTACAGATTGCATTTACAGCTGGTCATGAAAGTTGAATCCACTTCCCAAGTCAGTGATGCGGGGTTTTGATAGATTTCTTGGCATCAAAACCTTTTCTCTTTCCTGGGTGCACACTAGCTTTAAAAAATTTTTCTCGTTGTTTTTCTGTCAATTTTTTGGGCCTTCCATTTCCTGTTCTTTAATGAATACGCAAGTTTCTACGCTATTTATTAATAAGTACGCGTAATGGCGGCAAGAACTTCTAGGTAAGTAAACGCTCGTATAAATTATACTATATTCAGAAAATTTGGCCAGATGGGAGGTTACTGGCCCCAAATGAACTTTCTCTCACCATATTTTTTGCATTCATAATTGTATGAAAAATATCGTTAGGACCCATTCATTTGAAAGTGATAGCGAAATCAAACAAAAAGCATTACCTTGTACGTGGGCGGGTGCAGCAGGCATGATAATAGGTCCGAAATTTCCTGCATCGCAGAAGGAATGAATCTTTGACGTCATCCACTATATATTCTACTTCGCTTCGTAACACCGAGAGGACTTTGAGCGCAACTTAGCATGTTAAAATCTCACAATACCCTTCTCCAACTGGTATGGTTTCGGACCTTTACCGTATACCTACGGTAACCCTACAGAAACGCTACCAGATAGTGCGGGTAAATTTCGTGTTTAGTATGTCAAACATTCCACATCCTCCATCTAACACCCCAAAACCAGACTTTTCACAGTTTCGGTTAAGGAAGTGATTTACCGGCGGAGTAATCGTTTCATCATGAAGGAAGCTTCAATAAACCATTTCTAACATCTTATAGCGTCACAATAGCGGCTGTTGCACGTAAGTTCTACATCGGAAAAATATACATTTAATACTAAATAGAGTTGGCATTCAACTATGAACATGGGATTTTTTCTGCATATCTACCAACTTCTCATTGATCAGCTGGCCGGATCACTACCTCATTATTAGTAGACGGTCACTATGGAGGATCTCACTTTATAACGTCCAAAAACATGTCCATACGCATAAGCCGGGTACTCCGCAAACGTAAGAATAAGATA